ATGGAAATAAATGTATTACATTTAATACTGTCACTAAAAGTAGACAAGCAAAAGATATTGAATTTAAGTCAACAAAATGAGAGTAAGATGTTGTGAGAAGAGCTGAATTAATTTTTTTAAAGATCAAATAGCCACAATAGAGAAATTTGATCCAAATTAAATCTGCCAAACTATATACAATTTCCCATCTCTCTCTTGTACTTTGACGTCTTCATGCAACAAAATTTGTGCACAATTCCTTTCACTCCAGTAACTCTTTTTAATTTGACAGGTTATCATACATACAAAATTCTTCAATGTTTCCACTAGTTTATGAAATTCTTACCACATACTGGGGATCAGATTGAATGTAAAAAGTATACAAATACAGTTTTTTGTATCTAGTGGTTAAAAATATTCATTTTTATCAATTGAAAGCCCACTCAATACAAAACCTTGGCCTTTTTCTTTCTTAACTCCTTTTATTTCCTTCTCTCTTTTTTAAAATTATAAACAGATTAGGCAGGAATACAGAGGCCTTATATCAAAACCATTCACTAGTTTAAAACACTAACTTATATCAAGAATTTTGAAGGAATAACTGCTGCTTTTAGATAAGTTCAGTTCTCTGCATGCTAGCAAACTGAAGGCCAGTCTCCCCTTTTTGCACACACACACACACACACACACACACACATATTGTGTTTTTTTAATATAATAAAATTTCTAAAATATATTAGAGAGGGTCAAAGCAAATGTCCAAGGTAAATCTTGTTTTAATTATAAGATCACCTTCACTACTGGTAAAATCAAAAACAAACTTTCGGTGATTATTTCCCAGTGGGGCAAATTTCTAATAATGGCTGAAACCTTTCAACTTTTTTCTCCCCCTTCTTTCAGAAAGACTGATACAATGGCTTTAAAATCGTAAAGACATTTGATTTTTCAGGCCTTGACTTTTGGAAAACTACATTCCCTTAACACCAGTCTCTACTTACACCAAATAAAGTATTCTATTGGTATTGATTATGTAGCCTTCTGCAATCCTGCAATCCTCTGAGATATCAACTGTCTGATTCCGAATTTCACAGATTAGGCTGAAAACCATACATCAGAGCAGCAGAATTTGATAAAAATAATAAACCTCAGCAGTATTTCAAAGCATAATTACCAAGAAAATTGACATTTAGGTACAAGACATTTGGTGGAGATTTTCCCCAAGAGTGTAGATCTTTGTTGTGCATTTCGAACTCATCCACCTTCATATTTCAAAAATACCTATCTGCTATTCAGACATCAATTTTTAAAGGAACTTCAAGCTTATTATTGAAGGAAAATGTTTAACTGAGACAAAATTTCTTCCTATTTTAAGTTCTTGGGTTCTTTTTTGCTCAAACACCATGCATTCCAATACTTTCTGACAAGCACTTCAGCATGGATGAATACATAGCGACTGGCAACTGTTAAAACCAACAAGACCATAATATAATCCCTACAATCTCCACAGTATTATCCTTCCTTGCTCTTTATATTGATAACTTTTCAGCTGGGTCAATCAGTAAATTGTAAAACTAACGATTCTTGCCTAGTGCTGTGAACATTCACTTCATCATCCACAAGAATACAAGATCTTTGACATCAGAAAGGCAGAAATGGGTATAAATATTGTTATTTAAAGCCCTAATAAATAATAATAATAATAATAATAATAATAATAATAATAATAATAATAATATACAGAGTCAAATATTCATGTGACTCATTTCAAAGTCACAAGTATGGCATAATTAAATAATTCAGACAGTACTTAAAATAATCAGTGTTACTTCAATTATGTAAACAATAATTTATATCTAACCATACTAAATATCCAGTGGTATATTGTGGGCAAAACTCTTAAAACTTGCCTTGTATTGTGTATCTATGAACTCATTAGCCAGTTGTACTCTCCCTGCCCTGAGGCAGGTGGGCAGTGAATTCCAAAGATAGTGAAATGTTGAAAAATGTCACATCCCTATGGGAAGATTTAGAATAAATAAATGAAGCCCAAAGAATTAAATATTTATCTTCCTGGTGACCTTGCTGGTATACAGAACCAAATTGTAATTGTTTTTATATGAACAAAATGAAAAAAAAAAAAAAAAAAAAAACTGTGCATATTAAAAAAAAATCTAGTTAAGAAATGAGCAGTAAAGTTCATATTTGCAATTCATGTCTTGAGTGGAGAATTAATATTTTTTTCAATGTTTCCTGAGAACAACACTAATAAGACATCTGATAATATTCACTATAGCTCGTAATAAAATTTTGATAATTATATCTTTAAATTCATAAAAAAGTTATCACAGGTCGAAACGTTGTCTTCAGTTACCTACATTCTGCCACATTGCAAAAAAGAAAAAAAAAGGAAAAAAAAAAAAACTTCCAGCACCACTTGCATTAAAACACACGAGAAAACCTGCTTATTTGAGAATTAATTAGATTTTTGATCTTGTTTCACAGGCAATAATCAATTAATATATAAATATCTAACACATTTATGACAGAGCAGGCACGCAAACATGACATACATAAAAAATGAAAATAAATGCATTTCAATAGCATTGTATGATTTCCTTCAGGGAACTAAGCGGCAATAGTCTTCATCAAAAATGACATAAAAGATAACATTTAAGCTAAAACTAAGAAGTATCTCATGCTTTCCCAAATGCCATTTCACATAAACTTCAAAATATAATCAAATGAAATATATATCCCTGAAAACATTTGATCTCAAGCAGAGAAGATCTGGACATAGGCTCTCACTTCGACTTGTTAAAACCATGTCAGGTGTTCTGTATATAATGTTTACACAAAGTGACCTTCTCTCTGAGACTTTTTTCCCTTCCAGATCTGATAATGACTCCCAAAAAAAACAACAGAGATTACCTGATAGTCAATCTGCTCTTTACTCCTGAAGTGGTAAACATGGAGGCTCCTATTGGACAGCACCTGAACTGGGGACAAAAGAGCTTTCAGTAACTTTGACATGGCCAATAAATTTATGGCTTCCTTTTGGCGGTTGTTGAGATGACGCTCAGTTGTTGTTGTTGTTGTTGATGTCCCTAGGCCTCTATCGCAAAGTTAAGAGGCAATTTTACCTCAGTGCCCTATCAATGATACAACAGTTAAGTCCTCCACTAGGCTAGGACTGGGAGAGAGAGAGCTAACTTTCCTCAAGAGACCCTAATCACTTGCCATCATAATGCGTTGTTGTTGTTCTTCTCCTTGAAATGGATGTGTATTGCCAGCAGCTGGCTCTGCTAACAGTGGAGGGTCATCTCTGCATTATCACACCTTCCCACGATCTCTCCAAGATCCTCCTCCTCTCTCTCCTAGTACACGCGCGAATGAAATATATGGGACCAAGTGGCAAAGGCACCTCAAGCAAAAATGACAAGCTTTGTGTCCAGTCTCCGAGTTGCACGGCAAGGTAATTGAATTATGAGGCTTATTTCACACAGCACTGAAAAGACTGAAGGCATTCATCCGTGCTAGCCATAACAGTTATGAATTGATGCACACAATGGAAAATTCTTGTAACCTTTCTTAATGCTTCCTCAGTTATTGGTATTTGTGTTCTTAACTGGCTTAGCTTACACACTGTTTCTTTTCTATGCATAACATTTAAACTACCTGTGTAGTATGTTAAAGCCCCGTTTCTTTGCATGAAAGCAGGCAAGCCTGATGAAAGGGCACCAACCCGAATTTGCTCTCACTGCCATCTATTGGCAAACTGTCACCAGACCGCTGAACAGCTGCTTGATAAGCAGCAGCTGCTGGATTTTGAATTTTTCTCCAATCGTTTTCTTTCTGAACTAGAAAAAAAGTAATAATTGCCAGCAACATGGCCCATGATCTATTCCTTTCAGTTCCATTAAATTAGTTTTATGAAAGCACTGTCTTCACAGCAACTCTGCATCTGCTGTGTTAGCAGACTACAGCGTGGATAATTAATGTACTGCTAAAGAGCATGAAGTGGCACCTATAATAACCTGACAGTCTTCTTTGTAAATAGCTTCCTGCGAACACTCCAGGGAAAAAAAAGAGAAGAGTCTAACGCAAGGTAGAATAGGGCTTTTAATTATATCTTATCCAATTTTGCATCATTTCTTTGAAATACTAGATCAAAGCAGACAGTTGCAACCACCAACGTCTTCATATTTCCAATCAATGATATAAAAAAATGTTCAGAAATCTTTCAATATGCTAAAATATCTTCTTTAAAAAAAAAGACAAAACTGAAGAATTTTACTGTAAGACAAGTTAATCATGTGTTCACAGTGAATCTTCTTAAATGATAAATCCTATCATGTAAATTTTGTTTAAAAACCAGTTCCTCAAGCACACTCCTTCAACACGGACTCAATAAGGACATTGAAAACCAAAGTGAATAACATGCTCATTAATCTCCGCTGCATTTCTTTTCATGAAAAGGCAAGTCTAAGACCTATGCAAATGGAAGTTTAAAATGCCAGGGTATAACCAGTTAAGGTCACCCACCAGGTATGGTAGCCCAGAGGTACCTTGCTCTTACATCAGGAGGCCCAGGGTTTATACAGAAACTGCAGGGAAGTTTACCCAAGCCTCTGGTTATTCAGCCTGATTATGATCTACAAGGGTGGGCACCTGACATTCACCGTCTCTGTAGTAATCGATGCTCTTACCGCAGAGCACATGAACTACAAATTATCTTAATGACGGACTGTATAAACCGAGAGCACTGCTGACGCATGCTGTTTATCAGATTTCCAAGTAACTGACTTAAAACTTCCTAAAAGCTCTACAGGTATCTGATCTGAAGGTGATTTAATGAACACAAACATTACCAGTAATGACAAATGCTCAAATTCCCCCGAGAGCCATCATCAGAGATAAAATATCTGGGGAAGTCCATTGAAGAGTTCAATGACCATATTTCAAAGTGTCTACCCCTATTAATCAGTTTATTCATGAAAACGTGATATTGGTGGTGGACTTACCTGTTTAAAATTAGGGATGGTCACTTCTGAGAATCTTCTGACCTCCAGGTGTGGATGAGCAGCCTTTTGTGATTGATCTTTATGGTTCTCCTGGACACCCCCTCGGCTAGCCCCATTTGGAGGAGGCTGAGGGTCTCTCTGGGATGCTCCATCATGAGACATTCTATTGGGATTTTTCTGGGAATAGCCGTCACCTCTTGATAATTTATCACCGTCACCCTGTGTCTGCTTTAATTTATCAGAATCTTGTGAAATCTCAGCATCTGCTTTGGAGTTAGCTGAAACTGGTAAATTTCTTTTTGTCAAGTCTGGCTTTTTGGGAGGTATTGGTTTTTCTTTTTCAAACCTAGCTACCATTTTTTGTACTGCAGCCTGGTTTGAATTACTTGATGATGATGGAAGACTCTCTCTTGTGTTTTCATCTTTTTGTTTACTTTTATTATTGTTCTGTTTAACTGGATGACTTGGTATCTTAAACTCTCCATCATTCGAGTTCTTCTTCTTTTTGTGCTTTTTCTCATTGCGCTCCTCTGGCACATCTAGCGCATCCGGCATATCTAGGTCACTCTGTTTCTCAGTGGAAGATGAGGCAGTTGTGTTAGTTGGGGTGATCTCATTGATGCTGTTGGTGCTATTGGAATGAAAATTGGCTGCCTTGAACATGTCAGGTCCAGGAGTGATACAAGCCCTGGGACTGAGCTTGTTAGCGAGATCTACTGTTTCTACTTTCAATGCCCCGACTCTGGGGACATGGGGCATCAGTGGTGTGTTTTCTATGGGGCAAGATAGAGGGCGCTGCTTGAGGTTGAACTTAGCATCCTGCTGTGGTGGCCCAGAGACATGGCCATCTTTGCTGGTCAGATCGACTGAGCTCTTATGCGATTCCTGATCACTGCTGGTCTGTTGATTGGTATCTACAACAATTTTCTGACGTGTTTGTAAATATTTGTGCATACTCTTTCTAAGGTTCTCTGCACTTGTCCTGGCATCTAAAGACTCTCTACTCGGGGAGAGTTTGTGTACATTAGGGTCTGGCATGGCCCTCAGGTTCAGCCTGTCCAACACTGGGGGGTTAGCCCCTGAAGGGGATACTTGGGTGCTGCCTGCAGACTGTGGAGAGGTGGAATCACTCGATTTTCTCTGCTCTACTCTCCTGAAGGCATGACCAGGCTCAGAGGGTCCACTTCGATGGTGGTGGTGATGTTGAGGAGGAGGTGGAGGGGGTGGGGACAAGGCACGCCCATGGTCAGGTTGACCACTCCGATGACCATGAGGCCCTGGAGGAGGCGGGGACCCTGCAGCTTGCCTGTCATAGAACCACCTGGGGTGGTGCCCATATTCATGGTTATAGTGTGGCATGTCCACTACATAGACCATGTCTCCATTAGAGCCATCCTCACGCCAGAAACCTAGACCACTGTCACTATTACTGCTATTACTATTACTCCTGTGTGCAGCAACATTGGGATCAGCAAACATGTTCGCCCTAGCAATCTCTGCCTCATACAGTCCCCCCACCCTGTCCTTATAAAGCTTAGCAACAGTTCGTAATATGGGGGTGGCAGAGCGAGGGAATTCAAGACACTTGTTCGTCTCTGGATCATGTGTGCACTGAAATCCAAATGCCTTGGCTTTCTTGGCATGAATATTATGTGCCCTCAGCTCTGGGTCTACCATAAACACGTGGCACGAGCTGCCGTGTTGTTCTTCCTCCGCCTGGCTGCCATTATCACTGCTGATTTCATCACTACTGGCACTGTGCATGGTCACCAGGCCAAAGAACCTCTTGTCATCTGGGCAGACCCCACTGAAGGCAAGCCTATCAGCTGGATAATGTGCCACTGTCATTCCCATACTATTGGTCAGCTTCACACCATCACTGAACACCTCCATCAGGACCAGAGTGTGAATCTTCTGCTCGACGCGCAATCTGCGGATGGCACTTCGTATCGACTGCAGACGGGAGTTTGGCATATTTGAGTCACTTGGCATTTCTATGGAGCCCACATATCCTACAACTACTCTGAGATTCAGCTCATTGTCTCTGTTATTCTCAGCAGCCTGGGGAAGGTTATCATCTAACCCGTTGAGAGGGTCCAGATGAGGCTGGAGAGAAGGATAGAGGATATTAGACAGCTCCTGGGGAGTGAACACAGTCTGATAGCCAGCAGGACTTATTGGAGACTTGGCCCCTTCAGGGTTAGTCCTCACCTTGGGTCTCTGTTCCCCACTGGCACAAGCACCTGCTGTGTTACCCCTGCCCCTAGGCCTCTGTTCTTGACTAGCTGCTGCCTGGTTACCCCTAACTTTAGGTCTCTGATCCACACTGGGGCCTGCTGCCTGGGCAGACATGGCCGCATGCACCTGAACTGGGACATTATTTCTGTTGCCAGAGAAAGGCCCTGGCTCTATAATATCTCTCCTGGACTTCCTTTCCTGCTGGAGTCCGTTATTTAAAGGTCTGTCCTGTAAGTGACCGTTACCCACTGGTAAGTGATTGGTCTTTGATCTCTGGTGGTGATATCCCTGTCTTTGTTCATAGTTTCTCTGCTGTTCCCTGAGATACCTCTCCACATCTGGACTGTGAGAGCGCTGGCGAGATTTCAAATACTTATCAGCTTCTGGACTGTGGGAACGATAACGCTCACGTAGAAACCTTTCAACGTCTGGGCTATGAGAACGGTGATTGGCTCGTGCAAAGCGATCCAGTTCAGGGCTCCGTGCACGCTGGTTGGCTCGGAGGACCCGCTCCACATCAGGACTGTGCGATCTGTTTTTCTGCGGAAGTCCATTATGCGTGACCCCTCTGCGGTGCTGGTGTCCCTGCTTTCCAACGACAGGTAGAGGCTCTGTGAATAAAGCTCCAGATTCCAGATCAGCTAGCACCTTCTCTGCACGGTTTGCTTTGTTTCCATCACTGTTTGCATTATTGCTGTGTCTGGGACGGTTTCTGTGGGGATACTTGGCCTTCTGTTTCTTTGTGTAGTTTTCATCATCGGAGGAGGCAGAGCTGTAGTTGTTCTCTACTATCTGTACTACAAGGACACCTGTTGAGGACCCAATGAGGCGCACCACATCATCATGGTTGGCCTGGGAGACATCCTGGTTGTTAACAGACATTACAAAATCCCCTGTCCTGAGCCCTGCCCTTTCTGCCGGACTGCCTGCAACCACACAGCTCAGTATACAGGGGTGCTGTCCTGATATGGTAAACCCATAGCCACTTCTCCCACGCCCAATTTCCACTGTCTTCAGCCCGTGTGGAACTGGCCTTTTCTTGCGTCGCCTCTGTTGTTGTTGTTGTGGGGCATGCATGGTGGCTGGAAAGAAAGAGAAGAATTTTCATTGATCATATTTCCTAACAATTTCTTTGTGTGGGCATCCATTATTCCATCTGCCACCCTGAGAGGGATGGTATAATGCATGCACACCTCAGTACACTGGCTACAATATGTCTTTGTCACACACTGATAACACAACTATTGCCTGTTACATTATATTGTGTCACCTTCCTCAGTATCTCTCTCTCACTCTTAAAAATCAGTAAGCATGTCATACATGTTTGCAAGGAAGAGAGCGATTTGTAAACCCAGCCATGCTCCTGTAATTGATTGAGCATGGTTCTTGTCCTCAGTTGGAATTTTTCATGTTCTACAAATCCCTGCCAACACCTACATAAAAAGCTTAGGACCTTAGAACCAGCACTGTAAGGCACTGGCACAAATCAATTCAGAATCAAACTGATATGATATGAGCAACAAGTTAAAAACTTTCCAGATTATACTGTGATATGATAAAATACACATCAAAAATGAAAGGAAAAGTATAAATAACCATTGCACAACCTCGTTTATTGATCTACATGGCATCATTGCTAATAACATCAAGTATTGTGGTCATGCGTAGGGTTAGGTCTTCCTCTACTTCGAAGTCCTGCATACAAATTACACTAAGCAAACCTACAAGTTTATCTGCTTTTGGATATTCTATAATGTTTAACTGATCGACAATGATCATTTGCAAGAGTGTATGAATGCATTACTTTTGTTTATTTATATACCTATTCTAATAATAAGTTATTTGTATGATAAAAAAAGTAAACTGTAATAATTAACCTAAATGGGTTAAAGAAGCATTTTTTATGTTTATACCTAATCATTCTCATACATAAGTACTAGTACTTGTAAATTGGTATTCATAATATAACACAAAAGGAAATAAAAACTTAAATTAATTTTTAGACACATTGTTTGCAGTATTGCTTTTAGTATCAGACCCTGTTAAGTGTTTAACATTGATCAAAGTAACACCTGAACTCAAAATTCCACACATATAATACATGTCTCATCCCCCAAAGACATGTACTGGTAAGGGACACCATGATACCAAAGCCACATGCAATGTTAGCTATATATATATATATATCAGACCAGACACCAGTCATCTGTTCAGTGCAGAAAACAGCATGATAAATTGCCAGCTGACACGAGGTGTTAGAATGACTGTGAAACAAAAAAGTCTGCTTACTTTTATTTAATATATAGATCAACATGAAGAAAATATATTTTTTTACTTATAAATTCATTTATTGTTCTATCATTTTTGCTCTATTTCTGAAATACTGGAGATTAGAATTAAACCTTAAGACATTCTCTAGAGTACAAAAAGTAAGTTCCTTTTATATAATTGTTTGTCAGGAAAAATTTTTTTTTCAAAACACAAGCATTTTAACAAATTCAATATGCTTTTTCAAAGTTAAAGTATTATAGGGAATGAAGTACTGAATGACGTACTGAATGAAGTACTGAAAGGAAATATTATTAAACTGACATTAATGGTGATAATGTATTAGCTTCATATTATCATGCTAATGTTAAATGGCTCATTTAAATTCAAAGACCAGTTTGAAACTGTTTAATGTCCTCAAGTTTAAACTGATATCATTGTTATCTGAAGAAAATACGTTTATTCACAGCTTGTACAACCTACAATCACTTGAACTTTTTGAAAATCCTTTGAAAAACAACCATTTGTTTCTTAATAAGAAAGTTCTATCACTTTAAAAGTATGAAAAGCATCACTTTATTTTGAATAGTGACCGTTATTTAGAATATGTTTTACTGCAGCATCAAACACAACGGCAGATAACCCATCCCTTAGTTATACATCAGTGATTTGCCATACAAGAGATCATTTAACTCTATCTCAAATTTAAAATGAATAAATGGTGCTGGGGTCTCTTCTGCGTGGGACAAAATAACATCACACATCTCCAAACTGCTTGTCTAGAAAAATTCATCTAGAAATCATTTACAATTAATATTATTTTTAGTATACCACTATTAGCCTCTAGCTTTTTAATTTTTTGATTACTTTTATTCCATTCAACCAATATGACCACTCCCTCATATACTCAGAGGTTTAACACCTGTGCTCTTGGCACCTGCTGATGTTGTAACATTTTAAAACTGTCAAAACTTCATATGTTCGAGTGCCTTACATCTGCAACTATACCCTGTCATTATAACACATAACCAAAACAAAATACTAGAGTTCTGAATTAGAAATAACTGTAATTATGTGAGCAAACCATCTTTTGATGCCTACCTATTAAACCATACCTTTGGACAAAAGTGATAAGTGCTGTTGTTTAGGTTACTCAAACAGGGCAATTCATCAGAAAGATGAAACAAGTACACTACAGAAATCTTTTAATCAGTTAACATCTAGCTGAATAATAATACTATAATTATATATTCTAGTGTATTAATCCAAGGTATATCTTTCGTTATTTCCTACCTTCTATTACCTAATATTATAATTATATGCAAGAAATATCTCTACAACTATAAATAAAAAGCATATCAGTTTGTTATCACCCAGTGGACTGAGACTTTAACAAATTTAGAAACAACACCCATGTATATACTAGTAATTGTACACAAACTAACAATAGCTAATAACATGTTTCAGTATTCCATAGCTTAGATGAAAGTTTATTTCTTAAGTTTAAATTTTCACCAATTATCTAAGAAAAAAGGTGAATTTTAGCAGGTACATCACAGCTGTGACACACTACACGTAATAGATTTTGATAGCTGTTTTGATTCTTGTCCAATAATATCCAGTACAGTTCCACTCGTTCATTCAAATCACTGACGTTTTATAGGTATTCTTTTGTTATTTAAGTTGCTCACATCACAAAGTCAGATCAACTGCTGAAGGGACCTGCACAGTCGAGAGTGCCAACGGTTTATTTACGTGTATCATTACTTTCAACAAACCCGTCACAAATTTTGCAATTTTTATTATTCGTTATGGCTAACCATGCTAGCTGCAACGGTGAATTCAGTGTCATGGGTGCTCTGTTTATATAAAGCTGACATGCTTACTGTTGGTGAAGTTGTGTAGTCACTGCAACTCTACAGATGAACTGAACAACGTTCTGAATCCATTTTACACTGTTGTTGCTGACAATATTTACTAAATTACTGAGTTATTTGTTGTTGACATAGTTTGCATACTAGCACATACCGATATTGGTCCGCCTTTCAAAGTGCCAACACAGTCAAGTCGTGCATCTTATTTTCCTGTCAGTGTGTTTCTTCCCTCGCTATGTTGGGCATCTCGCATATGTTTCAAACCATTCTTAGTTTGTACCTGTACTTTTCAAACAAGTTTTTGGAAACGATCAATTAAGATGGACGGCCGTTACGACACGGGCTTACGAATTATCTTGGACATGATTGGCTGCGTGCTCTGTGAGTTGGTATGCAATGAACGAGATTGCAACAGGTGCGACCCCAACACAATCAAAGGTAGGCCTATTACGGAGTCGGCACGTATTATCACAGGTTTGAGCCTACTTACGGACTATCAAGAAATAGTGTTCCTTAAAACAAGGTATAATTAACGACACTTCTCGAAAATGTTAACAGCAGTTACATGTATACTAGCTGATAGAGATGACACTTTTTTAGTTTGAAGGGAATGTACCGCGAACTTGCAACTTGCTTTGTTGTGAAAAATCTCTATATTTATAATGGGTTAGTTGATAAAAATGATACAAGCAAACAATGGAATATAGGCCTATGTAAAATGGTTGGCCTAGAGCGTATGCTGCCCAAGTGTTTGAACGTTATATATCTGCTATCTGTCAATTTCACGCCTGGCAATTGAATAAAAAACGGTCGATTTTGTGTAATGCTTCACTGACGTTACTGGAATGTTCAGTTTTTATATTTATTTATTTAGGCCTATTTATTTATTTATTTATTTATTTATTTATTTGTGGAATGACACGTACCAGAAGCACCCAAATTAAACGCGTTCTCATCTACAGCAATGACAAGTTGAACACTCACAGTATAAGCCTTAGGCCTTGGCACGGGAACATGCCTCTCTAATGCTTGTAGCATGGCATCAACCGAAGATCATCATAATCACTGTATGACAGCAGGGTTATTCTTATATGCCCTAATAATGTAAATATATATAAAGACGTCTAATCTGCTGTCTAATCTGAGTTTCAGAAAACTTCATTTCATATACAGGTAGGCTCCTATGTCTGCTTGGGTGCTTTCATGATCTTCTGTAGACGAATCAATCAAACTTAAATCTTATATATAAATTAAGGACCGCGATTTTTTAAACGTTAAAACGTTCAATAGAATAATGATATTAATATGTTGCTGTGCTTTTTACTTCTGTACATTTTCATGCGTGTTGGACTCTGTGTGTGTGTGTGTGTGTGTGTGTGTGTGTGTGCGCGCGCGCGCGCGCGCGGGTGCTTGCGATTATCAAGTCCTTGTAGAACAAACTTTTTCCTACTCCATCAAAGCTAGAGCTTTGGGAAAATTTGATAGTATTAGTATGTTATCTCAGCGCATGCAGCCGCGTGATTAAATGTGAGTCATAAACCTACTACTGATAGAATCCGTTCAAGTAAACAATGATAAGATTTTTCTTGGAAGAAGGTGTGCTGGGACATAATTCTTTCTCTGTCCAAAGGGCCTTTTTTTAAAACAGAAACTAGACAGCAAAACTTTACAGGTTTAAAATCCGAAAGACACTGAAACAATATCTTTAAAGGAATCTGCCTTTTTAAAAACCACTCAGTAAATTTGAAATTAAATGAAAAAAGGTTTGGCAGTTATGGGGTAAACGTCGCCAATACATATGCAAAAACACGCGCGCGCGCGCGCGCGCACACACACGATATTTTTAGAAATGTAAATTGATCGCCCCGAAATATATGCCAAAAAAATTCAATACTTCCGAAAAAATAATATTATTTAATAATTGTGCCAATTTAAGAAAGGAGCCTGCCCTTTTACAAAAGAAACCCGCTCACTAAATTAGAAAATTTACGATATGATTGGGCAGATATTGGTTGAATATCGACTTCGGCACGGACAGACATTGATCAGAATATGCTTCTGTCGTTTAGGTGCCTTGTTCATAACTTTCAGAAAATAATTTTTGTACACTCAAGATCTAACTACAGTGATCCATTAAACAAAGTGAAAAATGGTCGAAAACACGCTCAGAAGAGGGAATAAAAACATAGCCAAATAAAATAAGAATTGTTTTAAATGAGTATGTGGATGGGTTTATCTGCTAAAAATAGCTTCAATGCCAAGCACTGATATTGCGCCCGTAAAGGCATCGGCGTTTTTCAATAACTTTGTCATAAATTCAGCCCTTAGATCAAGTCAACTTTGTAAATATTTGTTTTATAATTGTACTACATGAAAATCGTTATTATACCTTGCTTTCAACGGAGCAAAATATCGTTGTGGCGCCATACAATATTTTGCTGTTTGCAAGTCAACATGGGGATGGTCAGTAACTAAGGACGCGCCTTACTACTTTTGATGTTATGAAATCACCAAATAGGATTTTGAAATCACGTAAATCGAAGTTATCAAAACTTGTGCCCCAAATTGTTTTTTCGTAAATTTAATGTAGTTACAATTTAGAAAAGGGGCGTCTGTAATGTCATAAAGGCAATCACACGATGTCATGTATGTAATTCATGAAAACACAACAGAAACCATATGTTATATAGGCCTATTTTAAAAATGTAAGACATGGCATGCGCACTTTGTCCTTTCCTTTGCGATAAAAGGGGGCGGTTTGACAGTTTGCCAAGAAAGAACTAAGCATATCTTAGTTAATATTTCACCTTATATGATTTCTGAACTCATCATGATAACATCAACCATAATTTAATCAAATGCAATAAAACTTTGTCAAAGTCCATATGTACAAATCGGTGACACATGCACAGATATGGAGACCATCATGATGCATTGCACGTACGCCCATAAAGCTGCAAGAGTTGCTCTGGGGGCGTAAGTGCAGCGTGAGAGGCAAGCTCTTCAAATCGGATAATACATCAAATCAGTGCTCGCAGAACAGTGTTGTGGGAAAAACATACCTACATAAATGTAAGTAAGTGCGATTTCTATTAGAAACTGAATTTTCAACGTTTCAATAAGTGATGTCTTTGCATTTCAATATTTCATAAGTCTTGTCATTTTTTTATACCGTAAGGAATAAAAAAAACGATTTGAAGTTCATGGCGTTCAATCATCGTGTCACATGTTGCAAGTGCAGTAAATACTTTCAATGCCCACATCGTCTGCCCTGCAGCTATGCACTCTGCAACGACTGCGTTCCTCAGCATTCTGCGGACAACCGTTTTTTGTGTCCTTCATGTTTATCCGAGAATAGAAACCTGCAATTTGGAAACTTTTTCCTAGCTCATCTGGAGCATGCGTTAGCCACCATTCAGCAATATTTTCGTCGTTCAGACGTTTTAAATTGTGAATGTTGCACAAACCAAAATCGGTGCAAAGTACGCGTGGTTGCAATGCATGTCACTGGGGAGGTATGCTCACTCATTGGTATATATATATATATATATATATATATATATATATATATATATATATATATGTCATGCTGTTTATTACCAGATTTACAAACTGTTTGTTATTGCTATTTCAACACAATATCAATATGCGACCGGCTGGCCTTGTGGTTAGAGTGTCCGGCTCCGGAATGGGAGGACGTGAATTCAAACCCGTCCGGGGACAAAGCAGTCTTTCTTAAATGGTACCTGCTGTCTCCCCGCTTGGCACTGTCGTTGTTTTGTTTTGTTTTGTTTTTTTTTTCATAATGTGCCAAGGAGTCAAAAATTCCTTAACATGGGGTCATGGTGACTCACCTGTAGAGATAAATCAAGGGATGAAGGGATGAGTGAATGGAGTCAATTGTGACCCTCCTGTGGGGTCTGGGATAGCGTTACTCCATCGGAGTCAACTTGACTCAAATTGGGAGTTTTTTAGGCACCACTGCTGGACGTTTGGAGTCACTTAAAGTCACTTTGGAGTCACTTGAAGTTTGGAGTCGCTTGGACTCAGATTTTCTTCTCAGTGTTATCTTGCTTGACGCAGTCCCTGTACACTTCAAGTGCCTGTACACTTCAAGTGCGTTATTTTTTCTTTTCTTGTACTGGGCCTCAATTTTAACATTTCACAGCGGCAATAAATCCTATACAGTGACCTATATAGGTACCCTTTAATATCTCAGGGGTCTTTACTATAGCCTGTTACAAAATTGAAGAACAAGCCTTCAGCAGTCAACAGCTAATATTGAGATAGTTTTTGCCTCCAATATTTCGTTGTCTATCAGGATATCTTCATCATGGAATGAGGCTATCCAGGTGAGATGTACTTGCCCCCCCCCCTACCTATTGTTTTATCTCAATATTAGCGGTTGACTGAAAAATCACATCATCCTTATAACATAACACAGCTGATGAAATTCTTCTCCGAAAGCCTTCAGCAGTTTTGTAAGCTACTTGTCGTGACCCCTTGGTCAGAGAGTAACACATTGTTCAATTTTTTAAAGAAATTAAACTGCACCCTTTAACAGCTGAAATAACTTAAAAAGACCACGAGGAAAGTTTTGATGATTTATTTATGAATCAAATTCATACATGTAGCAAATGATAAAAATAGGTAAAATCATAGAAGGGTAAAAGGCATGACTAAGTAATAAAAACTGCTTACTTGGTCTAATTCATATCGTATTCATGTGGCGCAAAAATTTACATTTTTAGTCGCATTGATAACGCGGTGGCATTAAATAAATTATGTTATCAGCACGTTGCGTTTTTCATCATTAGATAACCTTAGAAGTTGTCGCTCTTATAACTGGCAGTCAATACGACGAAAGACCATTTGGACCAGTCAACTGCACGAAACGAGGCCTTTCGTAGACATTGCCATCATGGCAGCACAAACGATCCAAAATGTCTTCTCAGATATTGCCCTGAAATGTTCAATTTTGACAGATGGCGCAGACAACTTGGTCATAAAGTATCCACTGCCACAAGAACACCCTAACATGAGACAAGCAGAGGGAATACAAAGTCTAATGAAACCTGTAGATGGAACGAACTTCTCTTTGCCGATTTGGCCTCAAGGCAGACTTCCGCGGAGAGAGATACAAGATGACTTCGGTGTACAACTGTCTCAAAGTTTTCCCAACTCTAATTCGGACCCTGAACTGTGTAACAAATTGTCAATGTTACAAGCTCTAAAACAAGGTCAGTTTTCGTTGATACGTTGTCAAAGTTGTCCAAGCAGAGGTGTTGCCAAAATGTATTGTGAATTCTGCAATTCTTTCCTGTGTGAAACGTGCACAGACAACC